AGAGACCTGCTGGGCGGCCCCGGTGGCGGCTGGGCCTCCGGGTGCGCCGGTAAGGCAAAGGGCGCCGCCAGGAGTAGGAGCGCTGGAGGCAAGGGGTGGCTGTGTGAGCTAGGCCCGGGCCTCGCCCCGCCTGGCACGGGTGAAGGCTCCCGACAGACCTTCCCGGGAAGGGCGCGGGCGGCAAGGGGCCACCCCCGGGGCAGCCTGCGGGAAAAACGTCTGAGAGCCCGTCAGCAGGGAAGCGTGAGCTCAAGAATCACGAAACTGACAAAAAAAATCTTTTGCAGGCTCTGAGATTGCATCAGCTTTGAACTCCATGGCCTTCCTTTCAAAAACCCCGAAGCTTCCGCCTTGTCCTCCACTGCAGGACCCTGTTGTCACGGTCCCCGTTGAGCTCCACTACAAGCACTAGCAATACTACCTACTCCTCTCTCCCTTAGTGAACCACCCCTGCAGTACAAGAGCTTCCCAGGCAAGTCCACCCAGCTCATACAGCTTCAGGCGCCTGACTCTCCCAAGCAAAACCATTATCTGCCTCTTAAATTAAAGAGATTTTACGATTTCAAAACAAAGATAAAGTCAACCCACCGAGCTGTTTGTATGCTTTAACCTTTGCTATATTGCACAGGACCAGAGAGATAATTTGAGGCCAGCAGCTGATGGGAGAACTGTGACTGGAATGTAGTGTCTGATGTTCTGGCCTAGCAAGGCTCTTTCAAACAAGTTTTACTGGCTGTAGCATAAAAAAGGATTCTTAAAAACATCCTGCGCACAGGAGGCGCCTTCGTATCCAGGCTTCTCCAAAGGGTCAATTATGGGAAATGCTTCCCTGTGCCTAAATGCCTACACCAGTTTCAGGAATGGGGTACAAGGAATACGAATTCAAAAATCCAATTCCACACCTCAAACTATTAAATGCTACTACATAAAATGGTGTAGCTGCAAATCAGAGTTACGATTTCAATGATAATAAAAGGCTCCTGCATAACTCCATTCCTCCTCACAAGCTGTAACAGGTGAAATAGATGTAATCCAATTCTTGCATCGTCAAGAGAATTATTAAATAAATTCCAATAGGATTTTTATCATTGTGATGCTTCAGCCAGAGACATAGTTTGACATTCCTAGGGTCAAGCTGAGTTTATGTGGCTGATTGATAGTTAGAAAAATGTTTTAAAAGTTTGTTACAATATCTTTACTTCCAATCTATGCAGATCTAACATGGATATTGGTGAGAGACAATAAAATACAGAATCCCAGATTGTAATTTGTATTGCCACTTTCCAGAACTGCAACCACATGTTAACCACAGTATCCTTCCTGTTATTTGTGGAATGTGAACTGTCAAGAAATAACCTTTAGAACAAAAAAAAACCCCAAAAAACACAACAACAACAACCACCACCAGAATAGTTTTACTTCCAAGAGAGGGGAGAAAAACCTCAACACTGAGTATTTTTTGTGGGCCCAAAATCAAGTGTTCTTTTCTGGTTCAGCAAGGACACCAAACTACGCTTTCATACCTTCTGCCCAGCTGTACCTACCAATAAAAGAAGCGAGATCTACTTTGTTCACAGAAAACAAGAACCTAACTGTGTGGGTTGCACAGCACTTTCACTGTTTAGCTGGTAAAAGAAAATTACTGTAATTGTTTATGACGTGTATCAAAACCTGCTCAGCCTGAAGTAAACGACAGAAGTCTCGCTTGTTTTAATGGTTCTAGTTTTGGCTCATTAATTAATACTGGAAGTTCTTCTCCACAACAAATTGTACAAAACAGATATTCTGCCTTAAAATACTTACTTTTCTTTTTTTCTCTCCACAAAATGTATTGGATTTTTGTTCTGTGTTTTCCTAGAAAGAAGGAACAAGACATGCCATTTTTAATACAATCGTTTCCCCTCAGTTTCACAAAAACCCAGATCCTGATCAAGAAAACACCCTTGTGAAGGCCATGGGGGTGTGGATCTGCTTTGCCTGAGCTTGTATCAGGTCCTTGGACTAATCTCCCAGACTTGCAATCCCAGCAGTTCGCAAGACTTTCTCCTCCTTTCCTACCCTATTTTGAATTTTGCAGAAGACCTTCTCCTCAAGGGCCAGGTCCCTCCTAGCCCTCTGTGACTGCGAAGGCTACGAAGGGCCCCTGGCCGTGCACCGATGCTGGGCTGCAGAGCTGGAGCCACTGCACCCCTGTTTCTCTGGAGCTGGCAGGGCCAAGGAGGGGCTGACCCCCACTTCACCACACAGATGTAGGAAGTAATCGCTGCTGTCTAAGCACAGAAGCAGCTTCCTTTTCCCACGGTGGTGGGAGGAAACCAGAGATCTAAACTGTCAAACTCAGACTCACTCATTGTTATGTGCTTGGACAAGAACATATTTATAATTCTTTCTGTGATATTGTTTTATCTGTAAACTAGGATTTCGCTACCCTAATATTCAGCAATGTCAAGTAAGACCCACAGAAGAATACTGAGGATAATGAAAACTTGCAGAGCTGCAGCAGAGTAAATCCATGGTGCGGGTTCAGGTAAGGGTAGGGGGGAGACGAGAAAACCTGTAAAACTTACCAAGATTTAAAAGAAAATATTCTGACTGAAGCACTGTATTCCCACCAGGAAGAACTTCAGCCAATGAAACAACAATATTGAACTTAACGGAGACAAGACTGTTAAAAACTAGAATGAAGAGAAAAGACCTTACGAAGTAGATGCTCTTTTGCAACTGTGTTTGCTGTTCTCGCAGTCGGGCAGGGGCAAGGCTGTGCCTGGAGGGCAGTCATGGGGCACGGGGGCAAGGAGGACAGCGGCAGAGGAGCCGGGGTATGGTGGCTGCAAGCTCCCTGAGATGTCAGTCTGACGTGCACCAAGTCCACGGCAGAGCACATGTGTCTTGCCCTTGGGCAAGGGAGCTTTGAACGACACAGCCGCGTGCAGCACACTGGGGCTGCCCCTACGCTTAAGTGAGGCACTGAGGTGAGAAGTAAGGCTGATACGCATCTCAGATATTTCCCACTGTCGGTCGTACTGATGCAGACGCAAACATGTTGATATCACTTGCAAGTTCAACACTGTACATGAGTGAAATTAAATATGTCCTTGTTAGCAGCATCTCCTTTAAACAACACGTGTTTAATTACCTGGAATATGGAAAAAGAGTATTCCATAGAATACTCTCTTGGAAGCATGAAAAATCAGTGGAAAATAAAATGAACGAAGCATGAAGAAAACCAAAATGAGCTACCAAACAATAGCTTGAGCCCTATTTCTTTTTAGAAAGTGCTATTTTCAGGCACTTTAAAAAGATTTCTCAGGATAGGTTCACTGTTATCCAAGAGTTTTTCAGCACTGACGCAACAGAACTGTTATCATTGCTAGGACCCAGGGGACTGTTCTTTTTGACAGGGCCTTTCATGAAGTCAACAAGATCAGCTTAAAACAAGTCATAAATTATATTTGGCTGCCCATCAGCTTGGCCAGAGTGTTCTCTCAGTGCTGTCATAAGTGTTGGGGAAAGAGGATAATAACATGGCCCGATGTTTAGCTTTTAGGGGATATTTTGTTCCTAATTTAAAAACAAAGCATCCCCATAGCATTGACTCTGATGCATAAACGTATGTTAAAGCAGCAATCAAGATGTTCACAGACTTTCCTACAAATAAACACCCCCATTCTGGATCCTAAGTAATAGCTTAATAAATAATGGATTTGGTACGCGTCTCCACCACAAATGCCTGCCACTCATTGCTAAATTAGGGATCTGTCAGCAAGATCATCTCCCCAGCCTCACCTCCTGTAACAGTACGTGGAGAGAGAGGTGGTTTCTGATAGCTAGGATCCAAGCCTTATATAGCTCTCTAGATTATTATTAACATCCTGAATTGCAGCCAGAACGAACTGAAAAGACAATACTGTCTATTTACAGTCTGCTGAGTTAGCAGCTAAAGCTTCAGCCAATGCAGCCAAACAAGTAATCACACGCAGACGTCATTACCCTCGGAAGTATTCAGTTACTTATTTTATATAGATTTTCCCATC